TGCTGGTGATCCATCGAATGTTATCCCCAGCAAGCGTTTCACAACCTGACAGCTTGTCACACGGGTGTTCAGCATGCAGGGCTTGCTCAAGAAACTCGGACACTTGCCAAGGAACAGCATAAGCAACATGCACATGTGGATTCTGCTGCAAATCACTTGTATTCAGTAGGTCCTCGGATCGACACGACGCGTGGCCTACCCCCTTAAGAAGCAGTGTCGTGTCCTGGTTCAAGCGACCACCAGTCAACCGCACAGCTCCAGCAGGCACCCCAGGAAGGGACGGGCAGCCGCCCGCAGGCACTTCATCGGGGAGGGGAACATCGGGAGAAACTCGCAGTCTCACGACCTGCTTGTACTCGGGCACAACAGCAGGCACAGCATGAAGCTTGGTGGACCCTTGCAACGCCGCAGAGGCAGGTCGGAGTGGCGAGGGCAGCATGGACGAAGACAAAAGCGGCAAACACGCTTGTACGACATGGTCGCAGAAGGTAGCCGGCAGGTGACGCTGCTGATGAGAGTCAGGAGCCTTGGCAGACCAAGGAGCATGCACATGAGACCCATCGCAGCGCCTGGCCAAATCGCAAAGAGCAGGCACATTGTGTAAGAGGCGCGTAGCGCGCCTACGGTCACACCCGTATTGACACAAGTCGACGTCAGTCAAGAAATGCTTCAAGCCGACAGTCTGAGCAAACACAGGTTTCCAGAAGACCGAGGCACGAGGTAGGCACAAGCAGAAAGGAGTGCACGTTTCGGCAAGAGTGGCGAGTAAAAGCACCAGAAAATTCAAGACCGCTTGATTCAAGGGGGCGGAGGGGGACTGCGAGCCACCAGGAGGTACCACGAAGAGGAAGGACACGGCACCCTCCCGGAGTCGTTGCAAACAAAACTCGACGTCAGGGAACTGTTGCACGTCCCACTTCAAGCAGGGCACCTTCCAAGCCTTCACAGGGGCATGATGTAGAGTTAAGGTCCTGACATCGACGTTACGAAGCAGCTCGGACAAGCGGGGCGGCGCCGAAAAGATCTCGAGACACATCTGCTGGGCAGGACAGGCGCGAGGCGGAGGAGTAGCACACACTGGAGGTGGCCTAAAACCTAGCAAGCAGAGCTCATGACGTTGGTCATCTTTCAGCTGCTGCACAGGGTCTATGCAGAAGGCCACCAACACGACCCGCCGACCTCGCCAAGGCAAGGTAAAGTGTTCATCGCGTCGCGCATGCAACAAGCAAGGTTGCACTCTTGGATCTAAGATGACGCCTCTCACAGTTGTACCTGCATCGAAAGCCACCTCGGGGCCTTCAGGCTGGACGACGAAGATATTGCCACCTTCAAAATCGCTCAAGGCTACTACTAAGTTAGGATCAAAATTGTTGCGAACGTCGCGGTGGCGGGGAGCCCGCACGTCACCGAAAATGACGATAGAAGTCCACACGTGGTTCGAGCGGATACTCCTCACGAAAAC